AGTCATTAAAGGATTTAGTTTCCCTTATTGTACATCAACTTCCAAATTTTAATCCCTTCTTAATTGATTCTTAAAAGTGATCTTCAGCCAAAGCCTATGGAATACGTTCATTTTTAGAATTTTTTTTGGCCAACATTGGAGTGAATACTGTCCATTAGAGCTAGATCTGGACCTATGGGGGCTTGTGCACTTCTGGTGGCAGTGAGTAGGACATGGTGTCTCTGTGCCAGTCAGTGGCAAGGGAGGATTTTAGCTTCACTGGGGTGCCATGCCATGTGCTCATCACCACTCCAGTGCAGCAGCACAGCCCGTTTGGCGTGTTTGGGGCTCTGCTGCACATCAAGCACTCTTTTGTCAGCCCTTGTTTGCACAGCTGCCATGCCCAGAAAAAGTCCTTGGTTGCCCAGTTCAGTTTGATCCTTTGGCTGGCCATCTGTTAAAATATTGTTCAAGTGCAACATTGCCTTCATTCATTTGTATCATTGACACCTTTGTAAGAGCACATGGCAGAATCATAGACTGAAAGTGTGGAGGGGAAGCTTGATAATTTTACATGGTTGCATCAAGCCCCAAGGTTTGTGTCTGCCTGAGGCACAGCATCCAACCCAGAGCTGCTCTGAACAGGGGGAATCCATCCTTTCTTTTCATAGTTTCATAGTTTCTTTCTCACACTAAACTTTTCTTAGTTTATTACCAGGTTTAATCCCTCTTTATGTTCTTTTTTATACTCTTAAATTTGATTCTCACTCCTAGATTTATTTTCCTCTTCCTTTTCCCGTGGATTACGGCAATACATGAAACTTGTAGGGTGAAAAGTCCTGAGTCTAAAAAGGAATTATCTTCTCTTTATTAGTATTTTTATTTCTAGACATCTTCTAATGTCTAATGGCCTCAGAATATTCCTGAAATTGAACAAAGCAGTAGTAGCTGGAAGTAGCACCTGCCCTTTGTGCCACAGATGGAGGAATTTTAGGGACACATCGGGATATGGGAGATGCAAGCAGCACATGGGGTTTGCCAGGATGGAGGGGGAACATCAGGAAAAATAGCAAATGTGATGAAAGGGAGGCTGAAAGGGTGGCAAGGGCAATTTGCCTCAGTTCATATCAATTTGTGTAATCGGATCTAATTTGCTTTAAGCAAGTCCATGCTTTGATGTTCACTTTCAGGGCTTTTTTTCTTTCTTTGGAAACAGGTAATGGGAACTGCTGTCACCCCAGCCCATGTCCATGTCCCCTCTGGTACAGCCCTAGTATTGCACTATCACATACCCCAAAAGCATCAATGAGCTGCTTTGTGCAGAGCTAATCAGGCAGATTTATCTGTTGCAGGTTGGGAGCCACATGTTGGGAAGGAAGGAGTCTGGAGAGGGAGGACAGAAGGAAGAAAAGGTCTGCAGAGAAGTGGGGTTAAGATTCTCTCACTGAGATAGGAAAGAGAAGGAACTGAAATAATATGGCCCATTGATTAAGATATTACTCTGGGATTGAGGAATCCTGGCCTTCTCGGCTCCGTTCTCTCTTGTGATTACAGAAAAACTTGTAGTTTTTCTGCATAATGCTTCCCCTTCTGTAAAGTAAGAGCAGCACCTTATAAAATAATAAATCCTGTCAGGTCTTGAGTAGATCAGACAGTCCAGTGAGTATTTCTGCAGGGCTGCACTCAGGCATTTGGAGGCTTAGCAGAATGAATCCTCTGAACCTTTGAGACTCGCTTGGTGCTCCTAGAAGGGGATAAAAGTGGAGTTAATTAACCCATCCCCAAATCCCTCCTGATCTACGACCAGCAAGTAGCTGCCACTTCACACTGCTTTCCTTGGCTCTTGATGTACCCAAGCATCCCTGCAAACCAGAAGTGAGTGTCTGCTTGTTACTCATGTCTGGCACTGCTGATCTGCTTGCAGAGGAGTGGGACAAATTTGCTCCATCCCCACTGGACTTTGTGGTACCAACAAAACATTGTGATGATGCCACACCTGCTTGCCCAAACCTCAGAGTGTTATTGAATTGAGCATTGTTCATCCTTGAAGGATTAATTATTGTGTATCAGGGCTGTAAGTGATTGCATATTTATGCTTTAAAGGGGAGAAAGGAGCTCATGGATTTCTGTGCATTTCTGGAGTGAGTGGCAGAGGAGCTGCTGCTGGCAGCAGTGATCTCTGCTGGGAACCCCATGGCTGCTCTGGTCCAGCTCCAGCAACACAACCCCCAGATTTGTCTAAACTGTGGGCTTCATGCCAAGTAATCTCTACCTTGTTGATTTTTTAACTTTGAATTCTATTTTCTTTTTAATAGCTTGTCATTTGAGAGTTCCTCTGAGCAGAGAAATGTTGTGCAGGACAAGCTGCTTCACTTGCAGGTGTGCAATGTGCACTTTGCCAGGGATATTAAACACTGCATAACACCATGACTGGGGCCCTTGCTGGGGAGGTTGAGACAAAGGGGAAGAAAATGCATCTTCCCCTCTAACCATGCTGCTGGGGTTCAGCAGCCACCAGCAGTTGGGGTGGCTGATATGTACAGACTCCACCTTCCAAAGGGACATCGTGCTCCAAACACCATCATCCCTATGAGGTATTGCTCCTTGTGTCCTTTGGGGGTGATTCAGCTCCTTCAGCTGTCTTCTCCCACATTACACCTCATATTTGCTGTCTTCCCACATGCTCATGTCCTGCATCTGATTTCAGAGGGGGGCAGATGGGCTCAATACAGAGGACCCTACTGGGGTGGGATTAAACCTTTTCTCCCTGTTCTCTGAGCACTGAGCAGGTTTATCTGCCCTGCCTTCAAGGGCACAGGGCTGATGCCCATTTGGTTTGCAAATCAGGGAGGGGAGAGGGCCTTGCGGCAGCCCCGGTGCTCAGTGTTGCATCTCTGATGAGTTCTTTCCTGGTCTCTGCCTGCCTGGCTATTGGCTGTGGGTGACCATGTGTGTGTGGTGAGGCTGCTTTGGGGGACCTCTGAGCTTCTCCAAAAATAGGAATGCAAAGCATTAGTGTATGCATGGTGGAAACCATACCACAGACCAAACTGGAGGCTTTAAACGTAATGGCAGATTGATTGTGTTAAACTGCCATCATCATGATGGTTGGAGGAGCACAAAGGATCATGTGAATGTATGTTGTGCATAAAGGAAAATGGATAAATAAATACAATAATTTTCATTAAAAATCACTAATTGCTTGAAATGTCATTTCTAGCATACCTTCAACTAAATTAAACAAGGCAAACCTGCCCTTGTCCTAACTAACCCGTAAGGGAGCAGGCACTAGACCTGCACAACAAAATTAATGCTTCCAAACATTTGCTGTGTAAAGCCAAGTGGGTGGCATATTGGTTTCTTGTTGCAAATATTAAGAATTTAATTTACGTTGCAATCTACCTGGAAATTTTGCTAAAGTATCATGGGATTTTCCAGCCATTTAGGTAGAATGAAGAGCCAAGTCATGTGTTTGTTGCTCTAACATCCTGCAGTGTATTACATTTGAGTTTGCTTATTGTTGATGTTAAATTTCCTGTGTGTGAAAGCCCTTGCATGAACACAGCTTTTGATGACTGATTATGGGCATAAATTCAGGTCAGTCATAATATTTCCAGTGAATTCAGAGGAAATTGAATTAGTCTGCATGCTTGCAGGAAAGATCCTGCTGGGTACAAGGGACCTTCTGCTCTCCACGTCATCACACAGGTGTTAGGACGCTTGTGACCATAGAGGATAAGATCCTGACACATGATTAAGCATCTTAATTAAGCTACTTGGACCTTGAAGCATGTAGAGAGTTTTGCATTTGCTGACAATGCGTGTTTACTTTCCTTCTGAACATACCCATCTGTTGCTTAATGAGTGGCCTCTTCTTAGAATTTTCCATCTTTCTCTTGCTCTTAAAATATTGCCTGGAATTGGTGTAATTAATGTTCTACCCTGGGATTGCACTGGGGTAGTCTCTTCAGGGTTTGCACAAGTTAAATATATCCTTTGCAAATTATTTGTAAACATTTAAGGGACAAACCCATAGAGGCACTGCTGAAGTAGCTAATTAGATGTGTGCTTGTAGAGATGATTTTTCTCTTTAAAGCTAGTGTTTTGGCAAGAGGCTTGGTGGGAATGGTGAGGATGTAGAGCAGCCATGGAGACTCTTGGAGCTGTTGCACACAGTGCTTAATGATGCTGCAGGGAAGTTTGGGCACGGAGACCAGGCTTAATATCAGAGCAGCACGAATTTGGAGGGAAGGAGCTGTCATGGCTGCTGATTCCCTGTGGCAGCTTCTTCACGGGGTCAGATCCCTGCTGACCCCCTGCCAGCCTGCACCCTGCCTGTCACTCCCTTGCACCCTGCAGCAAAGCTATCCTACAACCAACCACCTTCATTCATCTGACACAGGAACTGTATACCTCTAATGCCTCAGATACTTAACTGCTAAACATTTTGGCTTCAGAGATGATTGAAAGATATTGTTCTGTCTTGGGGAGGCTGAGACAAAGGGGAGAAAAATGCCTCCTCCCCTCTCACCATGCCTGTATTATATTATGAATATATTATATATTAATTATATATTAATTATATATTATGAATAACTCTATTCAGGGCTGTGAAGTACTTTGGACTGCTTACTTTTGTTGAAAGGGCCCTAAAGATCATCTGGTTCTCCCTGCCTTGGGCAGGGACACCTTCCACTAGACCAGGTTGCTCGAAGCCCTGTCCAATCCAGCTTTGAACACTTCAGGGAAGAGGCATCTGCAACTTCCTTGAGCAACTTTTGCCAGTGCCTCACCACCCTCACAGTAAAGATTTCTTTTCCTAGTATCTAATCCAAATGTGCCCTCTTCCAGTTAAAATCTATTATCCCTTGTTCTATCACTACATGTCCTTGCAAAAATTTATGATGTTGAATAAAACACTGACAAGTATTATGTAACTAAAAATAGCTCTATGTTTTGCAGTCATGTGAAAAAAAAATTAGAATCACTATTTCATTCTATCTCATCTTGTATTTTTTCAGGATCAAGCATGAAAATATAGTTGCTCTGGAAGACATCTATGAGAGCCCGAACCATTTATATTTGGTCATGCAGTTGTAAGTAATGAACCTAATGAAGCTTTTATATCAAAGTTGCCAACTCTTCTTGTTCTGGTTTTGTTCTTTAACCCAAAAGATGGGATATGTAAAAGATACTTGGCTTGTGTGCTACAGACTGCAAAATCCCTGGAGGGTGATCAGAACCAGATTTCTAGTTGTGATGTGCTGTGTTGTTGTGAAATTGGGAATTAAATTGTTTTGTGACTAGTCTCACCCAAATCAAACCAGAGGGTTTTGTGAGATCACATCAAAAAAAGAGCAGAACAGACAGAGCAGGGGAGTAAATTACAGCTGAGAAGAGCCAGATGTGCCATAGGGAAGCCTAGAGCATCTGACAGAGGCAGCTCTGGGATTAAATATCTCAGAGGAAGCCCTTGGAGAAAATTCTGGTCCCTTGTCTGTTGGTAAGGTCCAGGCATGGTGATGTTCTCAGAAGTTGTTGTGCTGGCATTGTGGGGAGAATAGCATCCTGTAAATTTTTTGTGTGTTTTTGTAGTCCTACATTTCAGTTCAGAGTGCTGCAAAAGGACTTGCACAGGAACATTAGTGTTGTACAAATTCCAACAAGCCAGCTGGATTGTGGGAAGTACCAATTTTGTGATAAGTTGATTTACAATCCTTACTTTTATTTAATCTCTTTAAAAAATAAATAGATATTATTCTGACTTATTATTAGCTTTTTTAATGTACTGTAACCATAACTTTTATAAAGTCATTGTATCCAGATATTTGGGTTATCTGAAATGTAGTTCTGTAATGAGAGGTGACACAGATTATATCTCAGTATAAATTTCTACTTGCTCACTATTCAACACTTATTAGGGAATTATCCTTCCTGTTATAGCTGTAATTGTAAACCCAGCCAATTAATTTTCCAAAGGCCAAGCATTTAGCTGTTCCAGGGGGACACAGGTTCACTGATGCCCAGCGGGGTGATGCCCAGCTGGAGCCCATCACAGCATTTGGGGTGGCAGCTCCAAGCAGTCCCCAGCCCCAGTGAAGAGCTGTGCCTTGTGTTACAAGGTAGACCAAGAGCAATAAACTGAATGTAGGGAATAACCTTTCTGCACTTTTTTTGGAAAGTGCTGTGTTATCTCAAGGTGGAGAGGACAAGAAGGCCAGGTACTCACCCTCATCTCTTTGGATGTTACATGAAGGAGGGTGCAACCTCTGCATTGTTTCTGAGTTTTCATCAATAGTTAGGCTTGGGGTCAATTGGTATCAAGAATTGGGTGGCAACACTGCAAAGTCCAGGAGGCTCAAAATCCATTTTGCATGCCTCTTTTCATGGATTCCTCTTTGGGAGATGGCATGTATGGATAATATCTTGTTTCCAAGGTAACACCAACTTGTTGATACAATGGCTGTGAACCATCGCACAGCACGAAGTATCTTATCTATTTGTTTACACTTCTGCCCTGATTATTATTAGATTCCCTGTGGGTTTTTCAGCTTCTCATTTTTGTGTATTTCTTCTAAACAATTTCTTCTAATTTTGGCTACATTTAAAACTTGGGTTCTGATATGAAGCAGAAGGGGTTCTGATCAAGCAGCTTTGAGAAAGCCACTTAGATTGCAAAGAAAGAAGGGGTAAAATCAGGGCCACTCAAAGATCAGTATCATGAACACAACAAATCTCAAATCCATATGCCCTTCTCCCTGGGTCATTGCTTGCTAAGTGGACTCTAGCTAATACTTCCCAAGGATTATTTTGTGGTGTGGATAGCATTTTCATTACCAGCCTTTCAAGCACTCCTTGGTATGATGTGGAAAATTCACATTATAGCTCCTGAGCACCTTGCAGCAGCTCCACGAGAGAAGGCTTTTGAAGGCTAACCAAGACTCCCTGTTTATGTTTGTCCTTGAGTGCATATACTCTTACATGAAAGCCGTGCTTGTTAGCAGGCCAGCTTGAAGGATAAATATCACACCTCATTTATTCTGTCAAAGATACGGGCACGTAAATGTCTCAGTGTCTGTGTTGGACTTGGAAAGAAGGGAGGTTAAGAGGCAGCTGTCCATGTCTACTTGACACTTAATTTTTTCCTGCCAGTCCCCACTGGCAGCACTGGAACACTTTCCAAGGTTATGTAGCAGTTAGTGAATCTGCCCTGTGTGTTTCCCAGTATATTCATGGGGAAATAAGATCCCTGGCTTTAGTTTCACCACCTTGTTCTCACATATATTGTATACAAGCCATCACAGAACTGTTCAAACTGACACAATCCTCTCAGTGCAAGGTAGACCAGAAGTCCAGGTTAGAGATTCCTGGATTTGACAGCACAGAATTTCATGTGCTTTCTCAAGGAGTTATACTGTTCCTTAGAAAGGGCTGGGCTGGGCTATTTTCTCTTTATTTATTTTCTCAAAATGCAAGATATTTCAGCCCAGTGCCTCTAAGTTCAACAAGGTTGTGGACGACTCCTTGCTGTCTTTCACTCCAAGAGGTGTGAGGTGGTTTCTGGTGCAGCTGCAAAGCCAAATACAAATGTAGATAATCACTGCCTCTACTGTGATGACTCTGCCAAAATTTTGCATGCACTATAGAAAAATACTGTAGAACACTTGTCATATTTCCATGAGGATTATGTGCTTTCCAACCATGAAAAAATCTGCTCCTTCCCAAGCTTAGATTTCCTATAGCACTGTTAAGACCTATGCTGGCAACAAAGACAAAAACTAAAATGAAACTGAAAGTTCTGTTCCTTCTGGGTGCTGGGTGAGACTTCCCCAGAGGATACTGTAGAAGATGGGAGGAAATAAATTGCTTTCAGAAGTAGATTTATTGAACTATTTTGGTGTAATAGTGAGCTCTGTTAATGAGCAGTTATAGGATTTTTGGTTGCTGTTGGTGCTATTTTGTAAGAATTATACTACTGTACCTTCTAAATGATCTACCTTATTTCACCTGTCAGTATAGGGAAAGATCTTGATAATCCATTCTGGCTGGTAATGTCAGATACTAATATTTCATCAGCATAATCAGCCTCGATGGGTATTGATGATTCATTTTCTGCATGCTGGAAAATCATGCATAAAAATGGAGTTACATAAACACACGTAATCTTAGAACCATTTAGGTTGGAAAAGGCCTCAAAGATGATTGAGTCCAACCAATTACCTGTCACTGCCAATGCCACCATGTCCCCAAGTGCCACATCTACACATCTTCTAAGTACCTCCAGAGATGGTGACTCCACCACTTCCCTGTGCAGTCTGTTCCTGTGCTTGACAACCCTTTCAGTAAAGAAATTTTTCCTAATAATTCAGTCTAAATGTCTTTTCTGCCTGAGTTTTGTGGTTCCATTTACAAACTCTGTTCCTGACAGAGCTACCTGCGCAGATCAGAGCAGATTTCCAAGGCTTAACTCTGACTTCATCTCTGTTGTTCACCTGCAATGAAGTGTGAAGCAGCAGAGTTTGGTTTCCCTGAGATTCCTGAGATTTCTCTGTAACCTGTACTAGTCAAAGCCACAGGATCTGGGGCTGTTGCTCCTCCAGAAGAATATGAGACCATGTTAAAAATCTATAAAGACAGTAATTTCCTATTTCTCCTTTATTCATCCATATTTCCTTAAAATATGTAGGAACTTAATATTTTTGCTACCTCTACTCTTCTGTCAAAGTTGGTTGAAGTTCACCCAATGGGCCAGAAATTACTAAGGATTGGCAAGTTTGGATAGATAGTCATTTTCTTACTGTCTTTGGAAAAATGGGAAAAAGGCTAAAAATGGGTCTAGGTGGCACCTCCAAAACTTATGGAGCAGCCCAGGGTAGTGTGTAACTAGGTAAGTAATGACAGTAGCTGAAGTAGCTGGAGAAACACCTCTGAGTTTCATTGCAATTTTTTGCAGTCAAGAATATTGAAAAATCCAGAGGAATTCCTATCAATACTAGGATCTAGTTAAAGAAACTGAAAATCCTAGTGCCTGCCTGCTATAGTGTTCCACCTCTTTGGGGCACCTGTGATCTGATCCCCTTGGCAGGACTGCTTTACCTTGATCCTGTCAGCTGCTGTTTCTGGTTCTCCAAAGAAACCAGAGTATTTTCCCTATGTGATGTCTTCTGAGGCTATGGCATCTCTGCTAAGAACAAGGTTTTAGGGTAACATCCTGTTTGACTGAACCCTGAAGTACTTCTCCTTAGCTCTGTAAAAAAAACCCAGCCCAAGCTGAGCTGAAACCCCCAACCCTGAAGCTTTTCCAGCTTGGTCTCTTAACTCTGATGAATTATTCAGATGATTTCTGTCACAGAAAAGCTGAGATGACAGTGGCTCCTTCCTGCCGGGTGCAAGTCACGCACTGAGGAAAGCTCTGCCCACAAGTTTGCAGGCTGAGAGTCCCAGTGTCCCGTTCCTGCTGTTTATCAGCTCTACCCTGCCAGACACAAGCACCTTCTAACCCTGCAGTGCCTCGGGAGGCAGCTCAAGCAGGCAGGTACTGACCAGTGGTAAAATCTGCACAAGTTTTTGTTATTACCGGAACCACTCTGCTTGTGATTTTGCCTTTTAACTGTATGTTTTGCTAATAAGTGAGCAGAGTGCTAAGCTGTGATTAAATGCTGAATTCACTTTGTTTTTTGAAAGCCCAGTGCCTGAGTGCTCTCTGAGAGCAGCCGAGCATGAGCTGTGTATGTAAATGACATTTCAATGAAAATATTCAGCCTCCAAGAAAAACAACAGACAATGGAAGGAAGTGTTGTGTTTGCCAGGTTCCTTACAGAGTCTATCAAGGGCTCGGTGTGTTACAAAACAGCGATCTGCACGCCAAGCCGGTATTGCATCAGGATGTTAATTAAAGCAAAACACAGATCTGCCATGCCACATTCCTTAGGTGAGGCTTATTCCCCTACTTGGGGGGTTTTGTGTAAGCTTTATGCAAAAGACAGAAGAGAATCTCTCTGCATTCACAATGGAATTTATATCATAGAACCAAAGAGTGATTTTGGTTGGAAGGGACTTTAAAGATCATCCAATTCCAACCCCCTGCCCTGAGCGG